CCCTGCAGGAGCTGCAGGAGTACGTCCTCTTCCCCCTGCGCTTCGCCCTGAAGGTGCCGGGGCCCAAGCAGGAGCGCCTGGTGCAGAGCGTGGTGCAGTGCATCTCCTCCGTCCTGGCGGCAACGTGTGTCAAGAAGCAGGAGCTCCTGCTGGAGCTTTTTTCCGAGCTCTGTACGTGCCTCACGCCCCCCTCTAGCTCAGGCCAACCCGCCTCGCTGTCAGAGGAGTTAAAGCTGGCTGTGATCCAGGCCCTCCACACCCTGATGCATTCGGCTTATGGGGATGTTATCTTGTCTCTCTACCAGCCTTCCACCCTTCCTCTCTTAGGATTTGCGGTATCTTTACTTCTGGGCCTAGCAGAGCAAGAAAAAGCAAAGCAAATTAAGATCTCTGCTTTGAAGTGCTTACAGGTCCTAGTTCTGCAGTGTGACTGCCAGGAGCATCGGCACCTGGATGAAGACGAGGCACAGCGATGTGGGGATTTGTTTGCTTCTTTTCTGCCTGGGATTTCCATTGCTCTGTCACGGGTCGTTACTGGAGACATCAAACAAGGTCACAAACCGACTGTTTCTTCCATCAGACTCTTTTATCTGGTTGTTGGCTTGGTAATGGCTGATGCACAGCTAGCCAGAGTCCCAAAGAATAAAGAAAAGCTACCGGGGGAACAAAGCAGAATATCAGAACTAATGGTCCATAGAGGCCCTGACTGGAGCAAAAATACTGCCAAAAAACTCTCTCTCCTCCTGCATAAAATGGTTGAATTTTCTTCTGTTCACCCCCACTGGAAAGTGAGACTGGAGCTGGTGGAACTGGTCCACCACTTACTGAGGAACTGCAGTCAGTCGCTGGTGGACTCATTCAGCCACCTTTTAAAGGCCTTGATTGGGCTGGTGAATGATGAAAACAGCGAAGTCCAAAGCAGGTGTCACGAGGTTCTGCAGGGCATTGCGGAGCAGAGGCTCGTAGCGCAGAACCGGGCTCTGGCCGACGTCCTCTCTGAGAACCTCCATTCCCTTGCCACGGCTCTTCCTCGCCTGATGAACTCTCAGGATGACGCAGGCAAGGTTGCCACTTTGAGCTTGCTGCTCGGCTATCTGAAGCTTCTGGGCCCCAAGATTAACTTTGTCCTCAACTCCGTGTCACACCTCCACCGCCTGTCCCGAGCACTGATGCAGGTTCTGGAGCTGGATGTGACAGATGTGAAGATCGTGGAAGACAGACGCTGGGGCTGCGAGGGCTCCTTGCAGCACGGCTTGCGGAAAGGCGGATGTCAGAAAAAATACTTCCGCTTCTTCGCAGAGGAGAAGGTTTTGCAGCTCCTTCAGCAAGTTTGTCGTGTTCTTGGCTACTATGGGAACCTCTATTTGCTCGTGGATCACTTCATGGGGCTGTACAGTGAATCGGGCACGTACCGAAAGCAGGCGGCAATGGTCCTCAACGAGCTGATTGCAGGAGCTGCTGGGCTGGGAGTGGATGTCCTTCAGGAAAGGGACGTTTCCTCGAACCTGGATGATCTCAAAGGGTCTGTAACGTCCATTCTCGATGAGTACACAGACCAGGCAAACTGGTATTTGGTCACTAGCATTGATACAGAAGAAATCAAGCACGAGCGCTCCGTGCAGCATTCAGGACTTAGTGCCCATCCAGGAGGCGCGTGCGGCAGCATCCTCCTGGCGTCCCCGGAGCCACACGTAACGACCCGCACCATGAACAGCAACATCTGGCAGATCTGCATCCAGCTGGAAGGCATCGGTGTCTTTGCTGCTGTCCTCGGGAAGGAGTTCCGCTTGCTTCTGCTGTCAGGTCTCTACCCAGTGCTGGAAAAGGCCGGTGACAAGACTCTGCTCATCAGTGAGACGGCACTGGGGACGCTGGCAGACATATGCGAGGCCTGCAGTTACAACTCCTTGCAGTGTTTGATTAATGAGAATTCTGACTATCTGGTGAATGGGATTTCCCTGAATTTGCGCCAGCTGGCACATCAGCCGCACGCTTCCCGCGTCCTGGACACTATGCTGAGGCATTCAGATGCCAGCCTGCTGCCACTGGTGGAAGATGTTATCCAAGATGTCCTGTCTGCGCTAGATCAGTCCTACAATAACCAGGCTTCCACTTTCCTCGGGGTCCTCCACTCAGTAATGACAGCTTTAGGTATCGAAATGATGTTTACTTCCCATAATTCGTTCTTACTGTAACTAAGGGCACTTGTCTTTGACCTTTCCACTTGTCCTGGGAGACTTCAAGTAGCTGAGGTCCCGCAGCATGATGGCAGCTTTGCCTGGTGGGCCAGTGCTTAAGCAGAGATCTCCACAACCAGGTCCTGTTTGTCCAGCCTGTGGTGGTTGAGGAAGGATGGATTTACTGTTCCCATCGGCGTTCTGTAGAAGTACGGGGAGTGTTTTCCTTTTTATATCGGGGTTTTAACATTATCATACCATCGGGGAGGTCACAGCAGTGTGACAGCAGGGCCCTGGTTCTGCAGTTCCATCCCGTGGGACGTGAGAGTCACGTTTGTCTCTCAAGGAACCCTCCGTACCTGGCTGGCTTGCCGGAGGGGATTGTAGTCGCTTAGTGACGTATCGGTTCCTCTTTTGCAGCCCAGTGGTTTGGACCGTCCTGCAGTGAGGAACAACGACGAAGGCAGGCGGCCGAGTGCCAGAGCAGGACTTTGTCCCAGGGCCAGCAGGTGGTAACGAGGCAAGAAGTGGAACGATTCTTCCTCGACTACGTGAGACAGAAGCAGATTGCAGAGGGCAATCTTCTTGACGCAGAGGATGAGGAGGCAGGTCAGTACCGTGTGTGATTGCAGAGGAGTGTGTTCGGTTTGGAGAAAGACGGCGACCTCTGAGGTTATCTTTTGTCAGACAGGAGGCCCAGGAGCAGGCTGAAAGCCTGGTGCACTCCTGACAGCCCCAGGTCTGCTTTGAGCTGACGTCAGCTCATGTAAGGTGCTGCCAAGCGCTCTTGCTTCATTCTGCGCAGGGCAGAGAAGGAACGTGTTTGCAGATCAAGGCTTGCCTAGCTCTCAGACACAAGCACGCGGTGGTTTTCTTTACCTCGTAACAGGTTATTTGGGTTCAGGACCCAAAGTTTCCTCTGTCCCTCCCTTGGGAATTCCTGTACTGTTTTCTTCTGGCTAATGATGCCACCACTCCCTTCTCACTCGGCCTTGGCAGGCCCTGCAGAGAGTCATATGGGGAACTTTTTCGTCTTTACTGGGCTGTGCTGCAATCCTGACCTTTAAATACTCCATCTTTAAATACGCAGACTTTTCGTTTTTAATAAAAATCAATGGCAAATAAGTCCATGGTGAGGAGAGACTGCAAATGTCAGGCCAACTGCATTGTCCAGTAAAGAAAGCAGACGTTCCCTAGTCCCCCACTCTTAACTGAATCTGACACTTAGATCGCAGAACTCAAGCACAGACTCTAAATACATTTAAAAATGCCAGAGGCCTCACTTGGGAATTCGCAGAGTGGTTGCGGGTGGACATTGTGATCTTGTAGAACTTCCAAGTCATTTTCATGGCTTCAGTAATGATTTTGTCTTCCAGATGAGGTTCCTCCTCTTGCTAAGCCGGAGCCAAACAATTCTGACACAGAAGGAGAGACTCCACTGCCAAGCCATGCTCGACTGGCCAAAGCTGTGATGGAGAGGTGCATCCACTTGCTGTCTGACGGCAACCTCCGAGTGCGGCTGAAGGTTAGCAGACGCCGGCTTTGGGGGGACACTTGCCCCCAGAAGGGCACTGCCGTTCCTCAGCGCGTGCACAGTGCACGTTGGGCTTCCTGCCGTGATGGCATCAGTGCAGCCACGGGTCTTCTTCAGCCAGTCCCAGTTTTCTGGGAGTAGCGTGGTTTAGGAGCGGCAACCAGGCTGAACAGAATCCTGAGGGTGGCTTCGTATCAGGCATCTCTTCTTGATGCTCCTGATAGTCAAGTCTTGTGCTGCAGCCTTTGGAGGAGGAAGCAGAAGCATCTTCCTCCTATCTAGGCCTCCCATCCCCCTCACTCAGACTGTAGTGCACAGGCTGATGGAGGTTTTTGAAGTTGCTGGGGTGATGATAAGCAGGGCTAAAAGCCTGGGGTATTTTTTTAATTATGAAAATCCTTTGAAGGTGGCCTCCTTTTAAACTGCAAAGCGAGACAGAAAATGCAGCAGTGAGGCATAACCCAGATTCTTACCGCAGAGGCCCCAGCCCTCCCAGGTGATCCTGCTGCCGTGCCACAGGTCCTAGTGCACAGCTCAGCCTGCGCGAGCAAGCCAGGAATCCTGCCCTGGTTCCAGCCTGGCTCCATAGCCCAGCACTGCGCTACTTGTCCCCCTTCCCAAACAGGCCCTTCCATTATCCCAGTTCACGCTGAGCTAAAACCGTACCTTTTTGTATTAAAACCCTTCCTTCTCCTGGCTCCCTGGCTGACGCCGGGGATCTGCTTGAACGCCTGGTGCTGCAAAAATCTGTTCCCTCCCCCTCTCACCCAGGTCCTGGACGTGCTGGAGCTCTGCGTAACTGTGCTGCACCCTCACGGAAACCATCTGCTTCCCATGGCTCACCGTGTCTGGCCAGCGCTCGTCACTCGGCTGATTAGCGACGACCCTCTGGCAGTGCTCAGAGCCTTCAAGGTACAGCAGCGAATCCCTGCCAACAGCCTTCAAGCTGGCGCTTAGAAGGCAAGTGGCTCTGGCATCGCTGCGGCCTGGGAGAGTAGCACTGAGCTTGCGGAGCGATTTTTAAATGTGGCTGGGAGCACAGGGTCATCACCTTGCTGTGGGTGGGCTTGTACCGCTCGCGCTGCGGCTTGTGCGCAGATAAAACCTTGACACTGTTCCTGGGGGAAACAGGAATATTAGCAGTTATTGCTGGGAAGAGGAAAACAGTTCTTTTACAGCCTACACACCTGTCAGAGGCACTGGGTAGTACAGCTTACCCGTGCTGGAGCCACGGTCTCAGCACCCCCTTTGGAAGCCTTAGGCTGAGGAGAAGGGATTGTTTCATGATGGAGGTGTTGGCAGGGGAGGGGAGAGGTTAAGCAAAGACTTAGCTTCACAGTAATAGTTAAAGAGCTCCCGACCATGTCAGCCGGCTGCATTCTCTTCCTGACTCACAACTTGGACAATAAAGCATGTTTGCAGAGGTTACCAACCCTGGGGTTTCATGGGGCTTCCTCTGCTGTGCAGGAGGAGATTCCTTTTAGAATCCTTCGGTGTGAATAGAAGGAAAGTTTTGATTCCCCGAATTCAAGAAGCCATACACTAGAATTTCAGAGCAGCCATACCTCAACATGCGCCTGCCCTAAAAGAGAGATTGCTACACAAAAACTAATTAAGTCTTGAAAAGTTCAAGCGATCGTTACAGTTAGCACTGAGTTTGAGTTTTGTTGTAAGAAATCACTGAGGAGTGTCTTCCTTCCTAAATCTCGGAACAGGGAGGGTAGTGCTGATACAAGCCAAACACAATGTAACCAACACCTTCGTGTGCAGAGCCGAGACAGACCAGGAGCTCAGTGAAGTTCTGAGGGAGAACAGCGTTCCAGCCACGTGGCTTGGCCCCATGGATCCCCCTTTCCTTTCTGCAGGTGTTTCAGACCCTTCTCTAGCAAGTTTGGGTTTGATCCTGGGTGCACACCAGCAGTGCTGGGTCCCCTGTGCTGCAGCGGGCTGGCCTTTCTGTTGGCTGGCACACCTGTAGAGAGGGACCGTGCCCAACACAAAGGTGATTTATATCGTAATGGCATCTTCCATCAGAGGCTCCTCCAGCAGTTCTAAAGGCGGCTTCACAAGCTGCCCTTACCTTTTCTGTGCTGATGAGAAGAAGGCAGTCACCAAAGGTTAGCCCTGTAGGATGAAGAGCAGGTACGTGTCACTTGGCCTCTCAGTCCAGCTTTGTCTGCCACTCGTTATGGGAAACTCCAGCAGATATGGGCATGTTGCTGTTGACTGCAAAAACTTACCGGGGGAGAACTAGCAAGCTGGAGCATAGGAGATTCCACAGAAACACGAGGAAAAACTTTGTCACTGTGAGGGTGCCGGAGCCCTGGCACAGGCTGCCCAGAGGTTGTGGAGTCTCCTTCTCTGGAGACATTCTAAACCCACCTGGATGTGTTCCTGTGGGACCTACTCGGGGTGACCATGCTCTGTCAAGGGGGTTGGACTGGGTGATCTCTAGAGGTCCCTTCCAACCCCAAACATCCTGTGATTCTGTGAACATGTTAACACCCAAGCTGGTGCGGGTCACTGAGCTCCTCCTGGAGCTGTCTGTGCACTTGCCTTCCAGTAACTGATGTTTCCTCGCTAGGTGCTATGTACCCTGGCTCAAAACTGTGGGGACTTTCTGAGACAAAGATTCTCCAGGGATGTTCTGCCTAAGCTGACCAGTTCCCTCCTCAGCCAAGCCCCAGCGAGCGCCAGAGCCGGGCCCGTGTACAAGCACACACTTGCCTTCAAGTTGCAGCTGGCTGTGCTGCAGGGACTGGGCTCTCTCTGTATGAAGCTGGACATGGGTGAGTACCCAGGAACATACGGGTTGGACAAGATCTCTGCCGGACTTACCTCTTATGCTTTCATCTCGCTGATCAGGCCTGCAGTTGCTTCTTGTCCTTTGCTGCCCTGTGGGGTTAATTTCCTGGTCTCCTCCAGCCTCATCCCCTTCAGGTCCTGCTGGGCCTTAATCTGTCCAGTCCGAGAGCTCCATAAAGAGGGGCCGGTCACTCTTTACTCCCAAGAGACAGGTGGGAGAGAGGATTCCCAGCACCTTGCAGAATCTCACTGCTCATCTCACTTGTGCCTGAGAAGTGGGCATAAAGGGAGAGCCTGGGTCGCTGCAGCTGGGCCTGTCGAGCTGTGCTTTGTTCTTAATTAACTGGAGCCCAGATAGGACTTGTGGCTAACTCAACTGGTTCCATTTTAGGGCATCTCTCTGGGTGACCCTTTAAAAGCCACACATCACGTTCCTCTGCTGAATGAAATTCTCTGAAATTCATTCTCCTAGGTTAAATTTCTGGAGCTGACTTTGATGAAGGAGAAGGCTTACTGGGTAGTTGCTCTTTTCCTCTCTGAATGCCCTTGATTGCTTTCCTGGCTTTGCAGCAAGGGGCTTAAGAGACGAGGTCAGAAGAGCTCTGGGTCAGACAGTTCAAAGGCTCAGAAGCCTCTTACTGCCAATTTAGAGCTGATTCTGTTAGGCAGCAGCCACGGAGTAGGTTACCTCCTACCCTTCTTCTCTGTTCCATTTCTGCAGGCGAGAGTGACCTGAATAAAGTGGCAGATGCCTGCCTGATTTACCTCAGTGCCAAGCAGCCCATGAAACTGCAAGAAGCTGCCCAGAGGTAAGGTCCTCCAAACACAGGTGCATCAGCCGTGCAAACAGTGTGGGGCAGAGGGAGCACAGGAACCCCTTTCCTCCTGCACCTTTCCCACTCCTCCTGCCAGCACATTGAATCGTGATGACAAGGTCTCTCATGGAAGTGAACCATTTTCTCTGGTGAAGTGTCATTTACTACCAAAAAAGAGCTAGAGGTGAGCTTGCCCACAAGTCACAGCTGACTTTCAGATTACCTCACGGTGCGTTTAGGGACAGAGGGGGAAGATGTGCTACTTGCTTTTTTCTAAGTGCCTCCTGCGCTGGAATAGTGAGGGCTCCTGGCCCACTGGTGGCATAAAACGGCATCGGGGAAGGCGGCTATGCAAGAGGATGTGCCAAACATTCCCATGTATTTTATCACTTAATACCTTCTGCAGGCTGGGGGATTTATTTCTGTTATCCTTCCTTTTTCCCTGGACTCCTGTGATCACGTCAGCGCAGGCTCTGGCAGGCGGACCGGAGTTTGTTTGGGAAGCTGTCAGTCTTGGCGCCAGCCTTGCGCTGAGAAGGCTGGGAGACGTTAAAAGAGCACAACAGCTCAGGTGAACACACATCAGCTCTATGAAGTGCTGGCAGACATACTTTGCTGCCTGGTGTCAGGATAAGAAATCACTGTTGTCACATGTTGTCACCTGGAAAGAAGGCCAGAGATTTCAGCAGACAAAATGAGCCCGGTTAAAGAATGCGGGGTGTGAATAAGCGAGCAGCACAGCATCATCTTCGCTGAAGGAGCAGGGTAGAAGTCCCCTTCTTCCTGTGTGGCCAGCTTCGTCCTCCCTGGAGGGCAGAGGATGAGCGGGGAGCAGCTCAGGCGGGTTTGGGAGGGCAGAGCTGCCGGTTCCCTGTGGCCCCAGCACAGCGCTCCCAGGGGGGCAAAGCGCTTTTGTGCAGCCGGGCAGCGGTTTAGAGGGAGAGCGTGCTCCAGAGCTGTAGCTGTACCTTTGTTTGTCTTCCTGCGTTGGTGAGATGAGGTTTATTTTTACCTTAGTGGCTTTTATTGCGTCGCAGCGGGCTTCAGCAGCCTTTGTTCTGCGGAGGGGCTCTTCGCTGTAGGCTCGCATACCCTCAGTACAATAAAGCGTTGTCTGTGTAAGCAACGCTGGAATGGAAAGCGGAACACCAGAATTTATCTAGATATTTGGAATCTTAAGCTTTTAAATCATTAACAAGGCAGTCTGAAAAGCTGTGCAATTTCCCCCACAGCAGGGGCAGGGGGGGGAAAACTGAATTAGCCCTGTGATGCAAGAGGGTCCTTAGAAGCTGTATTGTCAAGCAAGCTCGCTGCTGTTGGAGGAGAAGGGCAGCAAAGTTCAGGGCAAGTAACGTTTTTCTCCTGTACATTATTTTCATTCTGTTTTAATGGAAAAATGCTACATGCTACACTGCTCCCCCCATGCCTCTGATGCACCACGCATTACATATTTCACTGAACAAAACAAGGTCTTCTGCAAACAGCTATGTAGTGTGGGGGGCTGTTGGCCTGACATACATAAGCACTGAGGCATGCATCACGGCTCGCCTCGTATTAAACCGATATTAACTGATGTGCATATGGCAGTACTTGTAGTTTTTCTTTTTTTTTCCCCCCGTGTTTAGTCCTGTCTGATCCATGGTCTTGCAGCCTGGATGGATCAGAGTTGAACATAGCACAATTGCTTTTGAATGTAGTACACATGCTAGGAGGTTTCAGCTTGGAGAAGTCAAATTTAGTCTGCACCACAACAGTCAGCTCCAGCGCCAGGAGAAGAATTGCTCCTCAGCCATGCTTCAGGTTCCTTTCTCCAGCTGCTTAACCCCCACATTCCCGGGAGCTCCGGTCCCTTTCCTTGCTCTGCATGTGCCTGAAAGTAATCCTGCAAGTTGTCACATGTAAGGCCCCTTCCATCTAGGCAAGGGCAATGTTATCAGCCTGACATGTGAAAAAGTCTGCATTTTAAATGCTTCTAGAAGCAGCCAGACCAGAACTAATCTTGGCCACAGCCTGAGCACCAACATACATCACATAACTCAGCTTTATCACTGCAGAAATCATATGAGGTAAAAAGGTGTTTGGAATCAGCTTGCCATATTGATTTATACTAACTGGCCTTTGCTCAGCTTTTCAGATTCTTATTCAGCTCATGAGTTCTGACCTGCCAAGAGCAAGGTCACGTCTTACAAAGTCAGTTGTAGCTCCAGGAGCTCCCTGCACTGAGTGAGGAATCTGTAGGGGGGCAAAGGGCTGAGCAGGAATTTTTGGCCAAGGTGCTGGAGCTACCAAAAAAAAAAAATTAAAAAAAAATTGGAAAAAAAAATTTTTTAAGGGTTTTGACTGTGAACCAGGGATTTTCTCATGCCCCAAGGAGGCCACTTAGTCCCATTTATGGGACACTGTAGTTTTATTAGATGAACCAGTGCGAATAAGTGAATTTTGCAACTGCAGCTTTATGCAATACTCAACAGGCAAAAATAGACACCAGGAAAAAAATAACTCTTGAGGAATGTCTGAGGAGTAGAAATGGGACAATAGGCTTTTTTAAAAATAACACTGCTGGGAATATTCCAAGAAATAACATTATCCGAAGGTTTTGCATTTTTTAAAACGAACAGACACAGAAAGCACCCCAACAACAACTGTACCTCATGAAGAAGAGTTTGGGAAAGCCAGGGAGGCCAGGGAGCTCTAGGTGTATCTTCACTTCCCCTGAAAACACGCCAGTGCAACTGCAGGTAAAGCCACCTGGAGCGCTCGAGCAGCTGCAGGGTCCGAGCACTGGGAACAAGGTGAGGGGGCAATGCTGTAAAAAGTCACAAAATGAGAACCTGAGCTTCTTGTCAATTTACCAAGTTGCATCGTCCCTGACACGCTTTTCACTCCAGGGAAACCTGGAAGGAAAAGAGATGAAGAAATTGTCGTTTGCCTGTGTCAGCACTTCAGAAATAGTTCTGCATTCTTTTCCAGTTCAAAGTGACTGTTTGGAAATTCACACTTAATTCCTGATAAATGTTTACAGCGATGTTTGACCTGTCCGTCAACACTCTGGATAGGAATGCTGGGTTTTTTTCTCCAGGGTGCTGAATTAACTCCCCCCATTCGTACTGAAGTCTGTGATGAACTGTACCCAGTTCAACACTCAGCAGAGGTGCGAAAGGCAGAAAGCCCCATCCTTTGGCCAACCTGTTCACTGTGCCACGGCTTTGCCTAGAGCTTGGGGAGGGACAAGGCAACAGAATAGCCAAACTCTGCTCTTTGCTGGTAGAATAAATTGTTCAGCCCAACTTGAACAAATAGCTATTTAGGGACATTTTTAGATACCAAGGCTGATTACGCCTCTTTTGGCTGGATGGCGTAGGTTGCTGGGTACCTGTTGACAGCTGCTGTTCGCCGGCTGGGCTGAAGGACGCTGCAGCAGCCGCCTGCACAAGGCAAAATTCAATAAAGTGGTATTTAAGTGAAAAAAGCAACAACAGAAAACAAACCTGGATTAACCCCAGGATTCTTTGCCATGGAAACAGGTTGCTTAGAAACTACCCCAGAGTTAGTTTGAAAATGTAGAAGTCAAGTTCTTTAAGCTGCAGAGCACTCCGGGTTACTGGGGAATAATCACATGCCTCGGGCCAGTAAGGGCAGGAGAGGCAGCGAGTTGTCCAGGGACCAGCTGGTCTCTCAAGGGTTGCTCTCTCCAGAGCAGCTGGGGAAGGGCTTGGAGAACAGACTCTCTTTGCTCTCGATAGAAGAGGGAAAGTTGTGCACGTGCTGGAGAAGCAGAAGGCGGCTGAGCCGCGTTCCCTGTTCCCACATTTACTTCCCAGTGATTCACCTCCCTTGCCCAGTCCTCTCAGACGGGCACTGCCAGCGCCAGGAGGGACGCTGCCAGCAGCAGCAACGCCTTCCCTCGCTGCTGTTCAGGGACCTGCACCGAGAGATTAGCAAGTGGTTAACAGCAGACAGGCAAAAGCAACAGCTTTGGCTGCTCATGGAGTAAGGAGTCTCACAGCCACGGATTAGCATGAAGAGGTGAGGGAGCTTTCTTGTGCCTCCATCTCATCTCTTGGCTCTTTCAGGTTACCCACAGCACTGCGCTCCCTTTCAGAGGAGAGCTTCTAAAAGGGATTTCTGCCTGCTTTACATAGGAAGCAAGCTCACTTTAGGGATAACAGTTCTTCAGGGAGAATTTTGATAGCAATCAGGTCTGGATTTTGTGTGGCTTTTGTAGCAGGTGATGTTTGAGTCTAGAGAGAGGAGTTCTGTGTGTCTTGAGAACAGAGGCAGGCCTACCCTCTGATTTCCCTTCCCATTACCTCACCCAGCTGTTGTTCTCCTCACAGCCCCATGATTTTGGTGGAAACTAGACCTGAAGGCGCATGGCTGGGCATTTACTGGGGTCTTGGAAAGCTGACCTGTAAGTCTGGCAAGTGTCGAGGACCCTCGGTGCTCACGGTCTCTGCAGGAGCACAGAGCACTCAGCTCCATGCAGGGAGAGGCCCTGCAGTGCTGTCAGGGTAGCCTGCAAATTCTCGTTTGATTTTGTACACGGCACAGACAGAGAACTTGTGTGTTAAACCCTGGCATGGGCCTAGCTGAGCACAAAGGCTGCTGACGGTAACTGCCAGGGAGAACCGAGTCAGTGCAGGTCCTGCAAAGCAGCTCTTTGCTCTCTGCTCCCAGGAGCTTCCTGCCCTCCCGCAGGTCCGTCCCCAGCACCCTTGTTGCAGCAGCTCCTGCAGCTGGAGTCACAAGTGGGAAGTATCTACTCAGGAGGCAAGTCCCCCCCTCTTCCCTCGGGTATTGAAATTCAAAGTGAAAGCTTTAGAGGAAGTTGTCACCCCTCTCTTCCTCCATTCTGTTGTTAATGAAGGTTGAGGGGTTTGGTTTTTTAAAAAAAGAAGAAAAGAATATCCTACTTTGTGAAAGGTGCAGGCAGAAGGAAGTAAATCTAGAGGCAGCTGGTAAGGACTGGATCAGGGAGATCTCCCATAAGCAAAAAGTCCTTGATAAGAGCATCCAGCTTTACAGCTGGGCCAGCCTGGACAGCTGTGCCCAGAAATACCTTTGTTTTTACCACCTCTGAAAAGGGAAGGAAGCCCGGGTGGGTTGACCCCTTCACTCCCCAAAAACCAGAGAAGGTGGTGAACAACACACACAATTTCTTTTAGGACGTCTGCAGGAGCAACTGTGCAAAACCGACACCAGTCGTAGGACACTCAGCAGTCACCCCTCCAGCGGTGGGGACAGGCTGATTCAGAAAGGCTTTTGCCCACAGCAGCCCGCGATGCTGAGACCAAAGCCCGGGACAGTTACTCACCAGCTGCTTGTTTGATGTCCATAGCTTACTGTGTGGCATAATAACTGTTTTCTGCCACTTGCCATTACGTGTGAAGCCACTGAACTGTCTTCTCTTGGGCACAGGACCATTTTAACAGCTCTCTCTAATGAGCCTCCAAGTGTGTCCAGCTGTCAGAGGGTGCAGACAACATCAAAGCTCCCCGCAGCTCTCTGTTAATGACCCTGTTAGGTGCCAATCAAAAGGGGTTTTTCCTTACTTTTTCCTTTCTTCTCACTGTTTTCCAAAGCGTTTTCCTCCACCTAATGCACGTGGACCCTGACAGCACCTGGCTCCTCCTGAACGAGGTCTGCTGCCCGCACGCGTACGAGCCCCCTCACACCAGCCTGCGGCCCGTGAAGCTCAGCGGGATGGGGAGGCAGCGGGACGAGTTCACCGACAACGTGCTGCTCCTGCTCGAGAGACTGCGACAACGGGAGAGCACAACGGCACACGCTGGCACGCAGGAGCCATCTCCTCCCTGACAGACCTACGCAGCGACTGGAAGGCGAAAGGAGAACCACGAGGATGGAGCTCACCTGGGAAAACACCATCTGCTCAGCCCCAGCTCGTTCTGGGGGCAAGGGAAGGATGACCTGGTCTGCAGCACCAGCCAAGACACCTTCCCTTTGGGCAGAAGTTCATTTTTTTCTTTAAACAGCGTTTGAGGATGAGGTGGGTGCATCGCCCCAATTCCTCCTGGCTTGTTCCACTTGGTGCTGGAGAGAAATCCAAGGGTCACAGTGCACGAGTTCTTCAATTCAGAGAGAGAGTCATTTTCCAGTGACTTCCCAACACTTGATCCTTGCATGGTGCCCCTTCAGCACCCACCAGATCCCTCCGACTTCCTCACAGCTCTGATACTCCCTCCTGCTCTCAGCTGGACAAAGACTGCCAACTCAAAACAAAAGCTTTTTCTGGCCCTAACCCTTCCCAGAGCAAGAATCTGGTTTGGGGGGCATTAAAAAAATTTCTTTTTAAAAGCAGTTAATATCAGAAAAACGTTAAAATGCATTTCCGATGAATTCCTCACCAGTGGTACTGGGAAGAACACCATGCCCTCTTCATCAGGGCTGTTCTTTACACTTCGCTGAGACCAGCCAAGCGCGTTGTGCTCCCCGACTCACCCCTGAGCCCAAGAGATTCCTCAGAAAAATGGGCAGCCCTGATTTACAGCTCTTGAGTGATTTAAGACTACTCCTCATCCCCAGGTTGCTGCCATTCTCGCAGGCTGTTTCTCAGACCTCTCAGATTTTAAGCACCCACCCCAAGGTGAGCTCAATGAAGCACCTGCCCGTGCCCCAGCGCAGCCTCCGGGAGGGCCCATGCTCCATCAGATGGTGCCGACGCTGGGTGTTAGCGCGGCAGCACCACATTTCACATGAGCAGCCGTAGAGCGACACAGCGAGCCGAGAAGACAAGTCATCAGTGTCTGGTCACAGCGCTCCCCCCAGCAAAGGGCTCCCCCAGTACAGGGCTCAGGCTCACCACTCGCCCGGGAGCTGCTGTGGCACATCCTGAGTCCTCCCAGCTCCTTCCCGAGGGGTCTGTGGGTGCTGCTGGACTTGGCTCCCCTGGCCCCACCGCCTCCTGCCTTCATCAGCCGCACCACGAGCGGCTCCCAGCAGCAGGCAGCCGCCCTCCCCATGCCTGGAGCCTTCTGTACTGGGAAAGCAAAGGGACAGATCTTGACTGTGAGCTTGGAAGCGAGCTCAGAAATGCAAAAACCAAAGCAATGAACTCACCGTTACGTGGAACGGGCTTTGTGCATCACTGCCGGGGCTCCCTTGTCTCAACTGCTGGGACCAAGGGGACTGCTGCTGCTGCTGCCCACCCCCTACCTCAGCAGAGAGGACGTCCCCTTGTCTCCCCAGTTTTGTTCAGGCTTTACCCCTGGGTTGCTTCTCCAGAAAAAAACCAAGTCACTGGCCTTTTTACCAGGTAGGACAGAGCTGCAGTTCAGCTTTTACCTTTTTATCCTTTTTAAAATACATATTCTGTGCTCAACACTGGGTTGGATTTTGTACAAAGGAGCCCTTCGGAGTCGATCTGACGGGGAAGACAGGAGAGGCAGAAAGGTGAAATATTACCTTTGGTCTTCAAAGCGCCCTGGGGGTCGGTGCAGAATTTTCTGGATTGTTGTAGCACTTGATAAAACTCATCCATCAGGCGCAGATGCTGCATCCTGCCTGCCTCTGGCTCGCCCTCGGTGCTGGGCAGAGCCCGCCGGCGACGGAACAGCTGCGGG